TACTTCTGTCTCCCCTACCAGTGGTCATAAAGATTCTCCAAAAGGAAAAATAGAGGAACCTATTCCGTGATACTCTAGTTATTATAAATTGCCTGCAAGTTTTGGGAGCAAACATTTATAATCAGTAATTACTTTCTTGTATGTCTGAAAGGCTATAGCTGTAAAGCCCCAAACACTGTGGCTGCGGGAGCCGGCACCCCAACGCCGCGCCGCCTGAACACGCCACAGGCCAATTAGAAACCTATGCCACTTCAAGTACATCACACACTGTTAGTCATGATGTAGTCGGGAAGCCGTGACGTGCTGCGTGTGCTGATGAAAACCACCAATCAACGCAGTGATTAGTAGCCCAGCTAAAAAAACTGCATAGGACAGGTGCAGTGAAAACTATTGCTATTATATCAACCTTAGTAACATTATATGAAAACCGTAGTAAAATTGTCGAATAGAAAGCGCTTGTTTCCACAGATATCCTCATAAGACTATATGGTTGTAGAGTAGCTTAGTGATGCTAGGAGCAGGACTGAGTATCACAGACACGTCGTTAGCCATTAATACGTAGGAAAGTGGCTGTCCACCGGTAATCGTAAAACACCATCATAAACTCATAAAAAAACTAAAACAGGGCTAGACTACCTCAGACAACCTACTAATACTTTAAACTACCATGGGAATGCCATACTAGGAGATATAAATAAGAACATCACAGAAATACCATAGTATTTGAACTGTTACCTCTGCGTGGTGCTGGCTTGTCATCTTTGGTGGGAACCCAGATCTTTTGGATCCTGTTCTGGGTCAGCTCTCTGGGCATTCCTTTTATGAACTAAATAGAAACCGAGCGGCTAAATATTTCGGGACGAACAGATTAAAAAGCGCAAGAGCGTTGAGATGCAATGTACTGGCTGTTCACGAGATCGATACAGCACGTTGATTCTAGCTATCCTCAAGGTCTGCGGCATACATCCGCAATTTAACCCCGCCCGGCCGGGAAACAACGTGACTGAGGTGACGAAACAAAAACGCGTACTCGTACACGTACACACACGGATGATACACATCAATACAAAGGCAGCCACAGCGCCTCTATGTGGAAAACTATTTTTGGATGATAATTTTACATGTAGCCTATAATTATTGGTGCAGTAGTTTAAACATCGACTACGATCCCTATTTAAATTAGAAGGTTATTGAGTATTAAACTTCAATTAAAATAGCAGAAGCCAAGCCTATAGTCTATATATAAATTATTGCTGTCTATATTTTTAATTGATTTATTTTCAAATAATTCTCAAACCATTTTTTTTACATTTCCATAGCACATGGGGCTGCAGCTGTTGATGATTTTCATGCGACATAGTGGCTATTGTAGGCTATATAAACATTTTAATGCAATTTTCATAATATGGCATTGTAGCTATTCATTATTTTAGGTAGGGGTATTTTTTTAATCCGTTTTATTCCGATTTAGACCGATTTTTGTACTGTTGTAAATACATTTAATTTCCCTGTTGGAGATCATTAAATGGAGGCAAATGTCTTTTCCGATTTGGAAACTTTTTAAAAACATTAAGCACTTGAACAGAGTTTATGTTTTTTGAAAATAGATGAATGGTATTCTTTTTCGGGGATAATTATAATCATTAGGCTGTTAGACTTTTTTTTTTTAAACCATCGAGTTGTTTTGTCTGGAATAGCTATTAGTGTGATACGAAATTGCACTTTCAGAAAGACATTTCGATGCTTATTCGCGCATGGTGTAATGAAACGAAAACGTTATTCAGCTTTAAACATTTTCACCACGTCTGTCTGCGTCTGCTGCCTCCAG